AGAAAAGCAGGAAGGTTAGAATAAATCAATATAGTACTGGATTAGAATTAGAAACATCAGTATGAACTCATGTTCAGGTTAACATGGATGTAGAGAGATGCAAAAACAGTTAGAAACATACTATATATACAGGTTAGTATAATATATATGTATATATTTCCTAGCTGTGTCAGCTGAGTCAGTCTAAGAGCAGTGACATCCCAGGAGCAATGAGCATATTAAGAACCTAGATCTTCTAGAGTCAGAAATACCATTTGACTCAGCAATCCCATTACTGGGTATATACCCAAAGGATTACAAATCATTCTACTATAAAGACACAAGCACACATATGTTTATTGCAGTACTGTTCACAATAGCAAAGACTTGGAACCAACCCAAATCCCATCAACGATAGACTGGATAAAGAAAATGTGGCACATATAAACCATGGAATACTATGCATCCATAAAAAAAGATGAGTTCATGTCCTTTGCAGGGACATGGATGCAGTTGGAAACCATCATTCTCAGCAAACTTTCACAAGAACAGAAAACCAAACACATGTTCCCACTCATAAATGGGAGTTGAACAATGGGAACACATGGACACAGGGAGGGGAACATCACACACCAGGGCCTTTCGGGGGGTATGGGGGGCTGGGGGAAGGATAGCATTAGGAGAAACACCTATGTAGATGATGGGTTGATGGGTAGAGCAAACCACCATGGCACGTGTATACCTATGTAACAAACCTGCACATTCTGTACATGTATCCCAGAACTTAAAAGTATAGTAAAAATAATAATAATAATAATAATAAAGAATGAACCTAGATCTTACTTGCTAATATACTTCTCCTGGGGAAAAGAACTGATTCTAGAACTGGGGCAGGGAAAATACAAGCATCTATAGCCTGCAGCATTTTTTGTTGTTGTTTTGTTTTTTGAGACAATTTCACTCTTGTTGCCCAGGCTAGAGTGCAATGGCGCGATCTCAGCTCACTGCAACCTCCACCTTCCGGGTTCAAGTGATTCTCCTGTCTCAGCCTCCCAAGTAGCTGGGATTACAGGTGCCCACCAACATGCCCGGCTAAATTTTGTATTTTTAGTAGAGACGGGGTTTCACCATGTTGGCCAGGCTGGTCTTGAACTCCTGACCTCAGGTGATCCGCCCACCTCGGCCTCCCAAAGTGCTGGGATTACAGGCGTGAGCCACCGTGCCCGGCCTGGAGCATCTTGTAGTATCAAAACTTAAGGGAAGTATTTCCAAAAACAAAAGAAAGGACGCATGTCAAAGGGACACAAGACCAACCTAAAAGAGCTCCCAATCACCACAGTTTAAACAAGCTGAGCAACAAAATAAATACACAAGAATACCAAAAAGTTTCTTTAAATACCACTCACTCCAGGAAGTGGAGCTGAGTTTTTCCACTGCCTCTAATTGGAGCAGTACTCAGTGGCTTGCAGCCAAAGAACAGTATATGGAAAGGAAAGGAAAAAGTAACTTTACCATGAAGAAGCTAAAAAAACATAATAGAAGTACCCCGATATGATGTAACAAGAAAGTCACTTCACCTCTATGATATTCTTCCCAAAGACTCATAATCTCAATCTAACCATGAGAAAAGCATCAGACAAAAGCAAACTGAGAGACATTCTACAAAATACCTGATCAATACCCCTCAAAACTGTCACGGTCATGAAAAACAATGAAGGACTGAGAAACTGTCAGGGACTGAACAAATATAAGGACCAAAGGTAATGTGGTATCTTGGAATCATTAGTGAAAAAAAGAGTGAAATCCAAATAAAGTTTGGAGATTAATTAATAGTAACTAATGTTAGTTTCTTAATTGTGACAAATGGACCATGGTAAGATAAAACGTTAATCATAAAACTGTATGAAGTGTATGCATAAACTCTGTACTATCTTTGTAGCTTATCTATAAATTTTAAAGCATTCTGAAATTTAAAAGTTTACTAATATTTTGAAATTGAAACAGAAATATCAATGTGACCTTGTAATTTAAACATAGACACATATATGCATGAATACACATGCATCTGTATTTTCTACCTGTTTGCATCAAAAGGTCACAAGCAATGACATCACAACATCAATGAGCATGCCTAGCAACCAGATTTGGTCTCTAAATATAATTCCCACAAAAAGAAAGGAGAGCTACTTGGGGAAATACTGATTCCAGGACTTGGAAATGAATGTAACAGGAAGCCTACATCATATTGTGCCAGAAA